TTCGGTTTAATGTAAATGTGGAAATGCATACTTACACAAAATTACACACTAAATGAAACACACTCATTTATAAAACCGTTTTGACAATTTTCTTGCTTTTACTATCCCAATGTTTTTGAGCATTTATTTTTTTATTAAAATACTTAATTCTAAAGTATATTAGACATTAAAAAAGTTTGATTCTTCTAAATTTGCATCAGAACTTAACTTCAATAATTTAGCTATTGAATTTTTGCTATTCGAAATTTCATTAAATTTATTAAAAATTACTTTCAGTTTCTTTATGTCAACAAGGAATACTGGTTTAGGTTTTATCAGACCACTATTTGAAATTTGGCCTATCCATGTATGTATATTAAAGAGAGATTTTCTTTTCATATTCGGTATGATAAATCCTGCACCTGGGACCAAACGCGTCCACTTAGAAATACTCGGCTGCGATAGGCAACAAATAAAGTCACGACCACACGTGAAAAGTCTCCTAATGAAACATCGCAGCATTTTGCCCACCGTTGTCGCTTCACTTGACAATTCGAAGGTTTAAAATAACGCACAAGTTTGTTGTCCAGGCTCTTGATAACCACAACGCACCGCTCGCAATTCCTTTTCATTTTATTATGTATTTAAAATCAGTCACACAGCTCACAATTGAAAATTTATATTAAAAAAAAATGTTTGAATAGTATAGGGTGTTTTGAAAACATCGATGCATCGTTTACATCCCTACTCGTGACAGCTATGTGTGGGACAGTTGTCAGAGGTAGGTTTACTGGGTTGATAAGCTTTATTTGTTTGTTGAGGTGGACGCAGGGGAGGAGGGGGGATGCGCGGACTCGTCCATTATCTATATACCCCAAGGATGCATTGCAACCAGGGGCGTGAACCGGTTTTGAACCGGAAAACCGCTCTTTCCTATTAATTAACTGAACCATTAACCGAACCGAAATTTTCCACAAATGTTTGATCCGAACCGAAAACCGAACCACTTTTTATAAAGATTGAAAGGTTCGTTTCAACCAATTTCAATAGATAAATATACCCACTTTTTTTCTTTTTGGTAGGGCTGCCAGACGTCCCGGTTTTCCCGGACATGTCCCGGTTTCAGACTATTTGTCCCGGTGTCCCGGTCCAACCTTAAAATGTCCCGGGCTTCGTTTTAGTGTCCCGGTTTTTGATTTGATTGCACAAATTTGAATAAAAGTTCAAAAATCACTACAATAAGAGAAACAAGTAAGAGCAGCGCTGTCTTCGGCTATGCCGAAGGCTTCATACCTTTCATGAACATCTGCAAATTTTACTTTGACAGATTACTGCTTTTGAATACATCTGCATACATCGATAGAGGAGTTACATACTTATATAAAAAATCGCATCTAAACAATCAGAGGTATGGAAGATATACNATTAGTATATGTACCTAAATACGTTCAAAATGACGAGCACAGAGTTTTACAATTATATTAAGGAAAATACAGAAGTTTTGAAACAAGTTCACAGCAACGAAAAGTATTACTGATATTTTAATGTTATCTTGTACTTAAATTTTTTTCTTTCATGAAACTTAGACTTATAAGTACGTACAGATCACAATTTCTAATCAGATCTTTTAGAAAAATTTTGAAAATTTAGATTTGGAGCCAATTAATAAAGTGCAAGTGTGAAGTTGCCAGGAAATATCGTTGATTTTTAGCATTTATTTATTTTTTGCTGACTGTGTCTTCCATATAAAAACAATTATCGAACATAGTTTGTATGGAAGAATCTCTCAGTAAAACCAATACCAAAAATCAACTAAAATTTAATGGGCTGGAAAACTTCACTTTAAAAATTTGTTTAAAAAGTCTGATTAGAATGTTGCAAATTTGTACGCATATTTATTGAATTTTCCCGAGTTTAGCACAAAGTTTAAGAGACCCTCCCTAAAGTGTCCCGGTTTGGCAACAGAGATATCTGGCAGCCCTACTTTTTGGTAAACATGGTAATACCCACGATGTTTGTTTACCATGTGACAGTGGGCGCGTTTATAAGACGTAGCTGTTGCCCAACCCTTGGCTATTTGTCCTAGAAATGCACAGTTGAGTAGTTCCGCTCAGCTCAACAGTTGGCAACTTTCCGCCATTTTTTACAGCGGAAAATGTTTACGCTACCTGAACTCAACGTGTTGGGCTTAGCCTAAACAGCTGATCGAAAATACTTACGCCGCTTATATTAAATTTAACGCCGCTTCGTTACGTGGCAGTTGCAAACAAATTTATTATATTTTATATTACTAATGCAATAAAATAACTAGAATATTTTATAATAATACTACGTTTCTAAATATATGTTTTTAAGATGTTTGCTGTACAATTTTACACTGTTTAATTCATTGTAACATTGAACGATTTTTTCAACACGGTGGCAGCTCAGCGTTGAATTCTAAATACTATCGGCGCAACTATCTCTATTTGTTGCAATTTCATTTGTTTACATTTATCAGCTGTTCATTTGGCAGCATATTCATCAAGCCGTTTCTAAGACGTAATTGTTGGATTCAACAGTTGCCAGCAGTTTCGTAGCAGATCAGCTAAACAGCTACGTCTTATGAACGCGCCCAATATCAAATGTAAAGGCAACCCATCTCATTTGACAGACACTTGACCCTTAACCTTGTGCGTAATTTTTTTGTTTTTCGAACCGTTGAACCGAACCGAACCCCCGGTTCAAAGACCAAAAAAACCGCTTTGCCGAGCCAATCCAAAAGTGCAAAAACGGTTCGAACCGCTCAACCGAACCGACCAAATTTTTCATCCGGTTCACGTCCCTGATTGTAACGTTAATTTTAGTGTTTACTAAAAAAAGTAATCGTTCTGTTGAAACGATTCAGTTTTTTATCGTTTAGGTAATTATAAAATAGTTCTATTTTGGTTTTTAACAAAAATAAATTCTATCGTTAATGTTGAAACTGTAGCATGCATTTAGGTGCTAGGTGTTAATTAGTGAGCTGGCAATGGCATACTACAACAACTTTTCGTCGATTTATTTTGTTTCGATGTTAACGATTGATGACTTATTTCGTTTCAACGTTAACGATTGAGTTTTGTTTCGTTAATTCAGCTCTGAAACGAAACGAAATTATTTTGATAAGTTATTTTTGTGCATCAACAAAACTAAATCGATTCATATAGTTTGTTGAGCATCTCTGATATACCCTTGTGGTCAGCTGATTAAGTTAAGTTACATATTGACCAGTTTTGGTTTTTATTTTGTTAACCTAAAGTTTATAGTTTTTTTTTTATTAAAGGCTCACATTACCTAACCAGAACCACATAAATCTACATTTCAAACTTACAAAAATCATAAAAATTCAACAAACTTTAACAATTACACCCAAAATTTTTTAAACTTTTTGTTCAGAATTTTTAGGTATGTAGTTTTGTAGTCCATTAGATTTAAGTAAGTAAAAATGAAAATATCAAGACGCTAAGAAATCGCGTTCGTTTTTAATAATTTTTTTTTGGCTGGCGGTGCTAAGCATTTTCTTCTATATAAAAGGCACCATCCTAAGTTAAAACGTGAGTGAATTTAACACATACTTGGCTTCTTATATTTTTTAATAACTACTCTTTATATATGGACCATACTAAAAGCTCCTTTTCATATAAAAATTCGTACGTGTCCTACCCGTTACAAACGTTGTCCCACCCGTGACAGAGGAATTTCGGATTTTTTGTATAATAAAGCCATATTTTTTTTTTAGTTTTTGCTTTGTTTGTGTTTCTGGTTCTTTGTTTTATTATAAGATATCAAGTTCACACAGAAAAGTGAAATAAATTCGCAGAGTTTCAATAAAATATATCTGCTCCAAAAAGCAGAAGGTTTGTTTTGTCCCACCCGTGATAGAAGAAATAAATCAGATTTTTGCCATATAAAAGTAAGCTGGAATTTTTGTCGTATTTTGTATAACTCATATAATAGTCAATTAGGTGTAGCTTTATCAAAATGTAGAATTGTTGAGTACTTTATACTTAAATTTAAACAAGAAATAAATTTTTTTCTGTACAAATGTCCAACCCGTGACGGTGGAATCGCCCAAATGCAAAGCCCCCTTAAGTTAAAAAACTTTCTTTGAAGTTTCATTTGCCTTGTTAAATGTTTTGTAGCAAAATTACTTCAGTTAAGGCTTTTTAAAAATTGGCATAAATTCCCAATTTTTTTAGTAACGGTTCTAAATTTTTAGGGAAGGCGAGGTTTTAGTATAAGCTTCTTGGGAATGCAAAAAACCAAATTTCGAAAAAAATTTCAGTTAGTTAGTTTCATCAACGATATGTATGTATGTATGTAAATCGGTACATAAGTACATATTTAATTAAACTTAAAATTGTACTTCCTCACTCATGTATGTATGTATGTACATCACTTCATTGACTGACTTCAACTTCCCTATAAATTAAACAAAGCAAAACATGATTTGTACCCGATGGAATTTTGCACAGAAAGTAACGGTAAAAAAGAATTTTTCAGCTGACTACGGTGAAGCTTTCTCCTTTTCATTCCCCATAATGGATCAAAGTAGCGATATTAATAAATAATTGTAGAACACTCTACTGTACATTACCGACAATGCTTAAGAGAAGCAAAAAATTAGAAGACGTTATAAGGCAATGCGTTCTAGAGCACGTACCACCAACAAAAAGTGAACTTTAAAGTTACAGGTTACTTGAGAAAACGGCCCTAAGTCGTTTCAACCTAAGCTAAGAATTTTTACTTTATATACCGTTTTTGCTTTTCAACTCTAATTTTGCATTGGCGAAATTGAAAGTTCTTATCAGGTGCCGCGGAGCAAACGAGCTTGGCTAGTTTATCATAAATATTAAGTAACATTTTTTGTCTACGTTCGCAATCATCATCCCCAGCATAAACTTAAAGTAGTCTCCATTTGACTCGTTTTTCGCCTCATCTAAGTTTTAATAAATAATTTTGGGAAAACATTATGTTTGTGCTTGGGCTTGCTACTTTACCTGGTCGCGGAATGACAAACTTGCAAAACTTGGCAAATTCTTTGCCCATTTTACCGCCATAAAAAGCAAACGCGCACTTGTTTCATAAACAGTTTCATGTGGCTGAACGTACAAGTTTTGCGGTACAAACGTTGGTATTGTAAAATGGCATTCGCCTTTCTCGCTTCGAAGGGGCTCCTCATCATTGGTAACATCAATGGAGTCATCTTGAAAACAGAACAAAATAGTTTACAAATATATTAAGAGAAATAATCACATATGTATACCAATAAATAGTTATTTAATGTCCATTACCCCGCATCACTAAAAACACTTAATATTAAAGCATATCAGGATGTAGAAAAATATTTTCTGTTTCAAAAAGAGCATAAACTATGCAGGTATTGCATTTCAATGGTGTGTAGAATAATCTTTATATACTTAATAATATATGCGGATGGTTTTGTGCAGTTTTTTTTTTATATAAAAAGTGTGTACATATGTATATATGTATGTACCCAACAAACATTTACGCTTGACCCCAAATTGAGGTTATGTTGAGAACTAAGGTATTTCTCAAATATTTCACGTTGTTTCTTAACAGTACCAGTGGAGGATCAAAACGTTGTAAACAAAATGGGAATTTTTCTTTGTATGAAAATGGGACTGTTTCTCAAGTTGAGAAATTTAAATAGTAAAACAAGTAATTTTTAGCAAAAAAAAACGACTTCAACTCTCATATATAAAAAAAATATATATATATTTATATCTCATATCGGATCTAAATAAACCATATTAGTATGGGGCCACCTCTGAGTAGGGTTCGAAATTTCAGGCTTTGGTATCGATCATCTAGCTCACGGTATCGGTACTCTAAAAGTATCAGGTAAAAAGTATCGATACTACTCAGTATCGGACACATTGAAATACGTTGTTTGGGATACTAAAATTATTTTATTCTTCAATCGTATATCTAGTTATTTCCTAAAATTAAAACAATACAAATTTAAAATATTTGATTTTCATTTCATTGCAGAACTTCCTTTCACGTTAGAACTAATTTTAGCGTTAAATGTACATACGTACATACTTTCACGAATTTCAAATTTTATTACGAATTTTTGTAAACTTCTTGGGTATGCATTTTTGAAGCCTATTCAATTTTAGTATAATAATGTGCAAGTTTGAATTAAAAGGCAACGGTACTAGGCTACACGTAGGGTTTAATAGATTACAAAAGTGCATACCCAAAAGTTTTATAAAAATTCTGCATTTTCGTGAACTTTGCGTAAACTTTTATGGCCTTATTCGTAAAAAATAAACGAAATATATAAGAAAACGTCATTTTATTAAGGTTTTTAAACCTACTTTATTTTTTATGAATAAGGCCTTTAAACTTTAACTTATTTGGTTTATGTTATGCAACAGACTACTTGAAATTTCAGTTTATTTTAAGTGATGGACAAAATTGTATGATAGTGCTCCACATAAGCAAAGAAAATTAGGTTGCCAATGGAAGAAAAATTTAAAAAGTGTGTTTTTTAAAAAGTTTTCGATACTACGAGTACTTTGCAAAGTATTGAGTAAAATCACCAAATAAGGTATCGATTACACTATGCGACAGTCAGAATCGGGATGGGATGAAACCAACGGGAAATGTTATATCGGTCAAAAACAAGTTATACGTGGCCAGCATTTCGCTGGGTCCCGTCTAGGAATAGAGATATATCGATTTGAAGTTAGTAACTATCATATAGGGGAAATTGTCACCTTTTTTTGAGATACCTTCACTTAATTGTGAATAAAAGCGAAACGCGTCCATCGATTTTCATGATCTATGTCTCATTTTGCTTAAAGGTTATGTGACTTTGCGTGAAAGTAATACGACTTACCTTTTTTCCGTTTTGGATTTTTTATAAATTTAAAAAATAAAAAAATTTAATATTTTAGGCAAAAAATATTTTTTTTCTTCATACATTTATTTTTACCGGCAAAACTGTTGATTATATTGAAAAACGTTATATGAACAGATTAAATTGTAATTTTTAATTTTTTTAAATTTGTTTGAGCAAAATCGGACTAGTGGTTCTCGAGTTATGTCAAAAAAAAGACCACCAAAGGTGACAATTTCCCCTATATGATAGTTACTAACTTCAAATCGATATATCTCGATTCCTAGACGTGACCCAGCGAAACGCCGGGACACGTATAACTTCTTTTTTACCGATATAACTTTCCCCGGTAGTTTGAACCCTTCCCGATCACTGACCCCTACCCTTTGTCTCACAGTGTTATTAAAGTACTCATTTTTATACCCTCAGTATCGATGCTTACTCAATATCGATAGTATCGTTCGAACCCTACCTCTGAGACACTACCTTTCCGATGCAAATAGAATTATCGAAATCGATCGACGTGGTTCAAAGTTATGCGGTAACATACATAAAAAAAAGAAGTCGGTTAATAACTTATACCTTTTTGATTGAAACGACATACATAGAGAATTTAAATATTATTTTATTTTTATTTTATTACTCCTTTTCTAATATGTAGTTAATCAATCTCATATTAGAACAATTTACTTAACAGTATACAGTTCGGCAGTAAGGCTGTATTCCAAAACGTCATTTGGGTATGTACATATGTATTAGGGATGTTAATTCTCCAGCTTTTTCCGTTCCCGGGATTTTCGGGATGTCGTTATCACAATTCCGGGATCCCGAGATTAGTCCCGGGATTTTGATATTCATGGCTTAAATCGAAAAAATTCCTTCTATGTTTTTTGAGAAGCTCTCCTACCATAGAATAAACAATAATAAAAAAATGGGTTTGCAACGTACTTTTTTTGTTTAAAGTGGCGTTTTTGTTTTTTCTCTCTGACATTAGGATTTATTTTAAAGGACTTTGTAATTTCAAAGATATGAATAATTCCAAAAATTATTTCAAAAATTCAATGCAATGCAGAATAAAAATATGGGTACCAAATGCAAGAGCAAAAATCTTTGGAATAAAAAAAAAATGAATTTATTGGATTCACAAGGACGAATAGGTAGTTTTTTAAGCCGATAAAGGTAGAAGGACGAAAGTGAAGGATGTTATCGAGTTTATATAAGTCCTTAACATATAATTTTTTCGAAAACCAATATTGCGAAATTTCAAGGATAAAATATTAAAAGGATATTTTCAATACTTACCCGTCCCTATGCACCGAAAACTTGAATTTGTTTATATTCTACAGGATTTCCTCTTTAATTTGATACCCTTACTTCTTCTCTAAGCACATTTCTCTGAATTTTTTAAATCATTTTTGAATTACTGACGCCGGAATGAAAACCTAAAAACGCAGTTTTAATATATTTGGCCCATGGTTTCATATATTGATATTTGTATTTAAAATTTACTAGCGCGCGGTATTATTGGTATAATGAGCTAGACATTTATAAAAAAAATATTAATTATAAAAAAATAAATATATATTCAATACTGGTCAAGAAAAGGAGTTTCTGTTATTGGCATCAGAGCAAATTAACCATGACCCTAAGGTCACTTATAGTTTTTTATTGAACAACAAAAATGATTTTGGAAACATTTTATTTTCCAATAGCATAATTTACCAGTATTTTTTATAGTGCAATAAATCACTATAAGCGACCATCAGGTGAAGATGCAGGAATGGTATTTTCAGAGACAGTAGTCGAGAGTTCTAGCTTTAATTTAAGCCTAAATGGAAGGTTTTAACACCTTTTATTCCTTTGTTAGAGATTTCAAAAATTTGCAGAAAAGCGATTTTTGACATTTTGACCTCGTTTTTTTTTCAAAATCTGGATGTAATGGAGACTTTATACTTACGTAAAATAATAATAATAATAACAATAGATTGGCGCTTACACATATGCTAGAGTTCTCCTCCGATTTGTGGCGTGCACCTTGATGTTGTCTTGTCTTGCGTCGCCAAGATCGAATTTAGGGGGCGGGCGGGGGGTGGGTGAAATATAAAAAATCCTCGAAAACTTTATTTATAATTTTTAATGTAGGTGATTGATTAATCCTTATTATACATATGTGTAAACTTAATGGTTCTATTTGAAAAGTCAATCTTAACTATTAGTCAAATATAAATTTAGTTTAGTAAGTAGAGTGGAGTACTAAATTTACAGTTTTTTACTTGTTTTCATGCAAATAGAGGAATATTAACTGGAAATCGACATCTGAGTGGGAGATCGACGTATCTCGGCAGCCAGTTCGAAAACGCCCTATTTCAGAAAACTTTTCAAGAACACCCTATCTCAGAGTTCGGTTCAAAAGCGCCCAAATCAGCTGTCGATTCAAAAACGCCCTATCTCAGCACATTTTCCTTTGAGAACCGAGATCTAAAACAGGGCCTTCTTAAACCAAATTCTGGGATAGGGTGTTTTTCAATAAAATTCTGAAATAGGGTGTTCTTCAATCAAATTCTGAAGTAGGACGTTCTTGAAAGTTTTCTGATATAGGACGTTTTGGAACTGGCCGCCGAGATAGGTCAAATATTCCACTCATTTTGAAAGTAGCCAAATAATGTACCGGGAATCATCCTCTTATTTTCATTGGCATTTCAATGGCTTTTCCAATAGCCTCCGTCCTATGCAAAGGGGCATAATTATTGGTTAAAACATAGCAGGCGGTCTGGCACTCTGGCAACAGTCGTTGCTTGAGTTATCTGCTGTTTTGTCAGAGTGCCAGGCCTCTTGCCCAAGTTGGTGAATACCTGGATATATATAGTAGTTTAAATGGAACTGCTCGGAGAAACTCCATTCAAGGGAATTTTAAATATTAAAGGTTGTTTGATGTGAGTCCAAAATTACACATAGTACCGAAGAGAGAGGTTGTCATGTTTAATTTTTAGGTACATTTGTGTACTTTAAGGTAAAATTTTTTTCGGCAAATAAGTACAATTTGAAAGTTTAATTCTTGTCCATGTTGCGAATATGTATTTTATGACTTCAGAAATTAGGTGAATGCTGTCAAATCAACGAAGGGCTAGCGCTCCGCTGATGGCGCCAACTATATCTTCTACATCGTAGCTTTGATATACATAAAAACATATAACATACAACAAGCGTTGACAATAGGAATGTTAATCCCGGAATCCAGGGATCTCGGAATCCCGGTATACCGAACTTTTTAAGGTCTCGAAAATACCGGGATTCTTGGTAAGTAATCCCGGGATTTTCGGGATTTGTAATTTGCA